CCGCTCAAACCAACGGTATTTTGAATAAAACTCTCCAGTTCATCATAGTTGCCGTTCCACTTTAAACGTTTCCCATCATAGACAAGAGTGTTGTTGTTTTTATACGTTCGAATATCGTCCAAATTCACATTTCCAACATTAAATTTAGTATTGGGAATATCTATGGAGCTAACCTTAGCATGACCATCCGCCATATATATATTTAATTACCCGCAAAGAAAACCCTAAACCCACACCGGTACCCTTTGTCTCCCAACCAATACCCATCATCACCCAACCGCTACCCCAAGCAGACGAAAAAGCAACATTAAACTACATACCCCAAGAAAAAATCCAAACTGAAAACCCTTTAGCAAAATTAAAAATCGAAAATCCAGCCATCGGTGAATTCCACACATTCACATTACCGCAGCCGCAATCACCACCTAAACCCCCAGTCAGAGTCGAAATCGTGACAGAAAAAAATGAAGAAATGCCAACAAAAAAACCTGAAAATACAATTGCTAGTAAAAACATTGGGCAAGCCAAAGAACTCTTCGACCAACAACACCCTAAACGCAAGCGTATTCAAATACAACCCCAAATCTACGAGGTACCACGCGGTGTCGGTCGACCCTCCAGATTCGACACCTTATCAAAACTTGCAAACGAATCGTGTGGCAAATCTAAAATATACAGTCAAGACCTTATCCTCTTAGCTCTCGACGGTACAGACAAAAAAAGAAAAACAGTATTGACCAAATCAACAACAACCATCACATGCAGCTCAACAAACAACTATGTTATGTACGAATACATAACAGACTGTAGAAGGAAAGCTCTAGATATAATAAAAGAACAAAAAGAAACACTAGAAAAAATTAATATATTAGAAAAAAGATTAATGGATTTTGATTCTGATTCTGAACCAAATACTAAATAAAGAACAAAAAGAAACAGTAGAAAAACTAGAAAAAAATAAATAAATGATAATTTTAAACCAAAAATTATCTAAATATCAAATAATTTTGAATAAAATCCATTTTTTACACTATTTTTTGTAATATTTACCCGCATTACCCCTCATTACCCCTTATTATTACTTCTTAACCCCTTATTATCCCTTATTATTCCTTATTACCCCCCTATTATTCCTTATTATTCCTTATTATCCCTTATTATCACTTACAAACCAATCAGCAGCCAACACACACGCCCCGCCCCCTCACCTCTACAAAACAGCGCGCCAATTTCAAATCACTTCAGTTCGGTCAACCAAGGCTTCGGGGTAACAACGCTACTCGCGCACACACGTCTATGACGTCACCGTTGTCATCACAACGATTTAGTGCGGGAACCAGCGTAGAATTACAGAGGAAGCGGCGTAGATTTAAAATTCCCGCATGTGACTCTTAAATATATAATTCATGCAT